ATAATATAGCTATATATATATTATAGCTATATATATATATATAATATAGCTATTGTATGGGGATTGTCCAATTGCTCAGAAACAGCCACATAAGAGACAGTTATTTAAGAAGGCCCCTTTTGTAGTTTGCTTCTGTTTTGAATTAGTGAGAGCAAAAAAGCACAAGAGGCAAGGCAATGGGCATTACGTGGAAGAGACAGAATTCAAGGTTCAGGAAGGCTGATTAATTACTTCTGTCGGATGTCACAAAAGCATAAAGACATTACAATTCACTCAGATACACCAGTGTGACAAGAACCGCTGGTATGAACAACTTTCTCCCCCTCATTTGTCTATGTGGAGAGAGAGTTTTTCAGATATCTTTGACAAATATTCTTCTGCTTCCAAAGCCTCCTTCAGAGTATGGCGATATCCAGTTCTCCCTCAGCTACAATGACTACCTGGGCCGTCTCACTGTAGTGGTTCTGAGGGCAAGGGGATTAAAGCTCCATGAGGAGAGCCATGCTGCCAGTAAGTGTGACTTCCTCTCTGCTATCAGCTCCAGAATTCCTGTTTTAATTTGCTCCTTCCTCGTCTGTCCACCCAGGCTTGCACTGTGTAACTGAGAAGAACAAATAAACATCTGTGTGATTTAATTTGAGTGGAGACAAGCCCTGTTTTGTTATTGGGTTAATTAGATTTTTATAGCTCAGTTCTATGTTTTGTGTTTGTTTCATCATAAATGGTTTGTCTCATGTAATCAGTACCAATTTTTTTCTCCTGCTTTAATACAGTGAGAAAAAAACCATCCCTTTGCTGCATTTCAATCCATAGAAGGTGGCATTTCAGGAGACTGACATTAACAGAGTTGCCTGAAGGCAAAAGCCCAGAGGTAACAGCTGGAGGACAACTGCTTACTCTGAACAGTTGTCCTGGGCAGGACTGCACTGGAACCTGGCTGTTGTTCATGACACGAAATCAGTTTTTCTTCCTTACTACAGCGGGGGTTTTCCTGGTACATCATGCTCGTATGTTGTTGGCCTCTGAGATGTTAAGGGTAGGGGAAAATAGGAAATTTAATAAATTTGGTGTTAATTCTTTTGATAATACCCTTCAAGTATTAATTAGGGTCCATAGATTCTCTGGTAAATCTTGAAGAAACAGGATTAAAAAGTTTTCTGTACTAACTGGAAAAGAACAACTTGTTAGCCATCAATTAAGATGAAATGTCTACATGTTTGTCACTGAAGTTTGTAGAAGGGTAGAGAAGAACAGAAAATTTCAGGCTGCTTTAGAATCTCATTGTCAAAGATCTGCTGAATAAGACCATAACACAGTAAGGGTCCTCTTCAGGAAGCAATGCAAAATTTTTGTTGTTCTTGTTTTCACACTCAATTTTTGTAATGTTTTCTAGAAGAGCAGAGATCATCGATCTTGTCCTCAGTTTTTTTTACAGAATCCCTTACCACAGGGCTAGAAGTCATTAGTAAAACCTTTTGTTTAAGGATTCTTCTTTAACTGGGAGAATCTGTTCCCCTGAAATGTATCCACTCCAAGTGCAGGCTGCAGCTTTACAGCATGGCTCCCCCCTCATGGCATCCCTTCTGCTGGATCAAACATGACATGAACTACTGACCCAACAAACAAAGCCTTCGAAAAAGTCTACATCAGATGAAGGGAACGGTACAGGAATGTAAGATCAAGGAGGCAGGGTGAAGACTGTACAACTGCACCCTAAGTACTTTGTGTACTCCCTGCTTAATGTTACACATTGTCATGCTGCCATGTATGTTTCATGAGTCATTCATGATCTAATTTTATATTTAATATTGACTCCTGAAAGCAAGAAGTTCTTAAGCCTTCTCCCAACTGCCTCTGATGAATTTTCTTCTTCAATTCCTTTTTCTCCAAGGTGTGTACATCAAAGTCTCACTAATGAACCATAATAAATTCATCAAAAGCAAAAAGACAGCAGGTGTTCTGGGATCTCCCAATCCAGTGTATAATGAAACCTTCAGCTTCAAGGCAGATCAGACAGAGCTGGATACAGCAAGCCTGAGTCTGTCTGTGCTCCAGAGCACCAAGGGAGAAAGTAAGCTATATAAGTTATTACAGTTAAGATGTCATAAATCTCTTGTATGTTGAAGAAATATTTAAAACTGGGAGGAACTAATTCCTTTTTCAGCAATAATCATAGAACATATAAAAGGTTTGGGGTATTTACAAGCTGTTTCTTTAAAAAGCAGAACAACATATTTACAGCAAGTTTATGTCTCTCAGAGGCTAAATCTAAATTTAAAGGAAGACAGGAGTAGGTTAGTCACTGTGAGTACTGTAGTTTTGTTTCAGGGTGCTGCAGTTTTCAAGTTTTCAAGGTGCTGTAGTTTTGTTTCATTCTGGTATCCAAAGAAAAGCAGCTTAGGCAATTACATCCTGTGAGCACTTGTGTGTATAATCCCCAACCTCCAACATTTTGAAGACATTCAGTGTTCCTGACCAAATTCAAAAGGGGAACAGGAATTTTAACTATCACAGCAGTTGAAGCAGTGAGAAAGAAGGAAGAGGTTACAAACATCCCTGTTCCCTGGGAGAAAACCTGATGCTTGAAGATAGCTCTAATTGTCAGAGGATCCATTAAGGAGTTCTGCTTAGAGAAGCAAATCAGAATTCAGTATTTCCACCGCTCACAAGAAAAACATCTTCCCTGCAGTGCAAATATGATCTCAGTAATGAAACACTAATACCCTCATTTGGATTTATATGCCCATAAAAAAAAATACTCTAGGTGAAATTTTGGGCAGGTGCTCTGGACTTGAGGACTGACAAGAACTAGAATCAGTACTCCAGTCTTGCACAATTTTCACCTGCAGACAGTCAAGTGCTTTACAAGCATTCTGTAGTTCACGTAAGGCAGGTTTGAATTATTTTCCCCATCCACAGCTGAAAAGCTCAGGCATGAAGAAACAGCCTGGTCATTGGCCAGGGGTGGTCAGTGGCAACCCATATATTACAACTTCCAGCTGTCTTGGCAACTAAAGCTATTCTTTCTCAAGCTACAGCATCACATAAACCCCTCTAAAGTAGCTGATGCCCAAAACTAGGGCACACTTCCACAGCACACTTGAGGTAGAGGACCCACATACAGATCTGTGTGCTTTAACTGCTTCTAGTTTAGAGTGCAGGCAATAGGGTAGGTCTGAATTGACGAAATACCCACTTGCTGCAGTACTTTTTAATGCTGAATCTTAGCATGTAGAAACTGTGGAACTTGAAATCTTGAGTGAATTCCTTAATGAAAGTTTTGGTTTAAAAATAACTTTCAGAATATGCGATACTTGGGGAAATATAAGTTAATATTCTAATTTAGGTAAGGATTTCAGAGAAGCTCTCACAGTTGTTAATCACTAACTGCTTTCTTTTCTCCCAGAAACACATCTGCTGGGACGTGTGGTAGTTGGGCCTTTCATGTACACCCGCGGCAAAGAACTAGAACACTGGAATGAAATGATCAGCAAGCCCAAGGAGCTGGTGAAACGATGGCATGCTCTCTGCCACGGCATGTAAACAGCACAGATAAAAACATTAACATGGAAAAGCTCTCTCTATATTTTATAATCTAACGATAAAGGGTACAAAATCTTCAACCACTTTACACTCCTAAGTAGACAACAATAAAATAAGTATATTCTTTCCTTGCCCAAACACAAAAGAAAAGACTTGGTCCCTGGTAGGCTGGAACTCTATCCTTCCTCTCTTGAAAATATATTTCCAATTTAATTAATATGCAGCAGAGTAAACACAACAGGAAGACAAACATGATCTCCCAGAATTAGCTATTTTGATGAGTAAAGTCCAATTCTTGGTCATGAGTTCTGGGCACAAATCCATCCTGTGGACAGAACCCAGAATTACCTAAGAACTGTCAATGATGACTCTACACCCAACTGCCCACTGCACTGCATCACCAGGGGCAGAGTAGCTTCACCAAAAGGGATGGAATCCCAGTAAGCACACCAAGACAAAGCCCAAAAGATGTTGACTGACTACTAAATTTACAGCTTACTTAAAATAGCAGCATTATATTTCAAACCTCTTGAGTATGAATGGTGGAAAGCACTGAGTGTTTATTGAACAAAAACCTGGAAGTACCCATGCAAGTCTCTCAGCACGTTGTATTTCTTGCAGTAATTTAGTTAGATATTTTCAGCTGACCCCAATATACAACACACAGTGTTGACACAAAGGGAGAAGCATAGAAAGTTCTGAAGTCACAAGTGATTAGAGGTTTGCAGGAGTAGAGGAGTACTCTGAGAAAGTAATCTAAAGGACCTGTCCCGTCCTTACGTATTTCTCACTCAACATGTCTCTGTTGGAGACAGAGCACTGATTACAAGGACCTTGTATGACCATTCTTACACTGAAAATCCAATTAGCTTAAGCCCTCAGGACATGTCTGTTTTAGTGGTAGAGTTTTCTTTGTTAACTAAAACACTGTTCTGTAAAATGATTCAGAGCAATTATTTTTAATCAAAATAAATAGGACATTCTTCTCTTCTCGATTGTTCACTGGCCACCTGAACTCTGTAACCTTCACACCGCACAGTCCTAAGCCAGACAAACTACTGCAACAAAATGTTTTGTACAATTATGTTCCAAGAGGACCATAATCTGCAGCTGAAATAAAGCCAACTTCCTTTCAAACAGGATACAATATTAATTAATATTAAAAATAAATGAAGCTTCTCTGGGGAGATGAAAACACTTCAGATTTTGTTAGTATTTTTATTATCTAAAGGAAATACTATGAGTGAGAATATAGCTGAGAAAGTCTGTAGGATAACAGACTTCACCTGATCCCTCATTTGAAATGCTGTGTGGTACCTTCAATCCATCTTACTAACTGCATCACCGGATATAAGATGAGCCTAGATTCATTACGTTTAAGTGAATTCTACAAAATGTTCAACACTCATATCCCTGTAGAATGAGTAATACCAGCACCCTCAACCCCAAAGAGCTGTTTTCAAGCTTTACTCCTACAAAACCACTGAAAACCAATCCAATATCCAACATACTCAATCTGGGAAGGAAAACTATGTGTGAACTTCATGATAACTGTATTACTACAACAAAGCAGTTTTACTAAATACATTATGTCCCTCTTACTTGTATCATACTAATTAACATTACAGAGCTTAAAAGTAAACTGTTAAGGTTTCAGACAGGTTTACTAGCTTGTGGAGGAAGATGCATGTAAGGTACAAACACTTCTTAAGTGGGAAGTCATCTGACTTGATGTACAGTATGGTCCAAGTAACAAAACAATGCATTGCACTAACGTGGTTTCTTTTCTTTGTGCTTATTATACACTAAAGTACCAATACTTCCAGTTTGTGCTCAGTAATTCTAACTAAATTCATAAAGAAACATATTTAAATACACTGACCAATATACATGACTTTGCTCATGGCCACTCAAGTGAAGTAAATGAAAAGGACCTTTTTGACTCTTCCTGAACAAGAGTTATTCCAGTAAAACAAGAAACATTACAAAGTAAGAAGTTACAATAGTGTTATTAATTGTCATGTAACAGAACAATTTTATTTACATACTACCTTCTATAGATCATTCATTTGGTCTTGTGCTTGAGACATCAAGATGAAGGAGAAGGAACGATTACAAGACCTCTCAGTGCCTTACAGTGCTTCTTTTCCTCTGAAAAAATTTAAAATTTTACCAAGATGCATTGCTCAGAAAACCCCTATCCAAGAAATACACAAGACAGATACAAAATCATAAAATGTGATACCTTTCTCAGTACTTACCATTACTACTGACAAACACAAGAAGTTCTGAAGTTCTGCAATAAATCTAGCATATAACTAGTTGTCAAATGTCAGTGAGCAGCAATTACCACCGTTTTAGAACAGACATGAACAATGGTTACATTCTTGTTCTAGAGAAGAGGATCTTGGAGAAGCTGCCATGCCACTACTGAAGCAGAGTATTTATTTACATTCCCTTGTTGATCACTCTCTACCTTACCTCCTCTCCCAGTTAAAGTTATACCTATACTAGTCCTTTAGTAAGCATAATGATCACTAGCACCTGCACTACTCTCTCCTTCCTTCAAGAGAGGAAATGAGAGACCAGATGGATTTGATAATTGCTTTCTCCCTAAAATAACATTTAAAAAGCAGCAGCTTGATGAAACTGAAAGGGAGTAAGATGCTTTAGCACCTCTAAAGGATCAAAAAGCTCCTTCAGAGGAATTGTCTATGCCAGATGGGGAGACAGAGTGAAATGGACTCCTGTTTGAAAGGCAGGTAGAAAAGTCTGAAGTACTAAACACAAGACAGCATGACCTAGAAGTTTTTCACAGGATACTAAAGTGAAGATAGGAACCAAAGAAACGATAGAATTACAGTAAATTTATTAAAGTTAACATTGAACTATGGTGCCATGTTTGTAGCTTGGATTTCAAGAAGGAATACTGTGAAACAGAGCGGTGACCTGAAAACCCATGAGGAGAGAATGAGACAATCAGACCAAAGTCAGCTGGAGAGACCTAACCACAGTACACACAACTTGGTGGTGAGCCACACACAGCTCACCAAGCCAGATAGCATGACTTCCACCCAGAGTTATCAATTCATCCTAATGAGACAACACAGTGACAAGATGTAAAACAACCCTTAGGATTTCTCTGATGTAATCATTGTCTGGTTTTCAAGAGTCCTACTAAACTAAAAATGCTCCTGGAATGTTTTCACTCATACAGGATCAGCACTGGTGCTGATACCTCACTTAAATCCAAACACTGAAACTGCTCTTCTCTTCAACATAGTTTTCTCTGGCATTAAGAAATTCACATTCTAGAACCAGACACTACTGAGGTAAAGCATAGTTAGAATAAGGTTCAAAAGGCACAGATGCTTAGGTCTTTCCCCAAGGTGATGTGTCAGGACAACTTTATCCTGTTTCTGCCAGCTGACATGAAATTAAAGGTGAAAAGTATTTTTACAGTGAGGTGAAATTCAATTCTTGCAAGTCTCTTGAATGCTCATTTTATGAAGCTGTGATTTTCCACATTCTCTTTAGCACAACTTAACAGTAACAAAAGTTTTCATTCTTGACCATCAGCTGTGGACTCTACAGCTAACCTCTTCCGGACTGGTTCCTCCCTTGCCCTAGGCTCACCGTTGTGGAAGCCATCATTCTGCTACAGAGACTCTGCAGTGTTTCCTTTGTATGTAAGTGGCTACCTAGCTCCTGCTGGAGATTTTGTCCTCCCACTTGCACACCCATACTGCTAGTGTAGAGCACAGTTTTCGGTGTCACTGTGCTGTATGTCTTATATAAATCTCAGTATCTTGGCACAGCAGGAAACTGAATTTGCTAGCAGATCAGCATTTCTATGCTTGCTGACAAAATTGCCAGAGACTGTTTCAGAGATAGACAAAAATACTGACAAATCATTTTATCACAAGATGGCTGGGGCTTAAACCAGAAAACTAAGTTTGCCATGAGCTGCACAAACTTGTTTGATCAATAGAATCTGAATAGTAGACAGTAGTTAAATACAGAAATGAGGTAAGTGACCTTGTGAAGCTTCAGCTGAAAATTTCTTCGAAGTCATACAATAACTCTCTTGCTGCCAGACCAATCAGAAAAATTACTACCTTCCTCTTTATTGGTACACAAGAAAACACACAGCTTACACATAGCTCTAGTCAGCATTACTAAAAACCTAACAGTCCCAACTTGGTTTCACATGAGACACAACAGAATCCAAACTAGCATCAAGGAACATGGTCATTCAATTGTAAGTGGCCACTTCCAAGAAACACCACATGAAAGCTGTTCAACAGTCAAATTACTTGCATTATAATACATTTGACAATTTGATTTATCAAATTCAGTCTTGAGAACAGTTCTGTGATTGAAGCCTGAGGACGGCTGAAAGTGTATGTGGAAAGTGATTTCCTAAATGAGAACAGTGCAGGTAAAGATCTGCAAGGATTGAGCCAGACAGCAAACAGGATTTGTACCCTACAGCTTCACCAGCCTCTGTAAGAGGCACAGCTTACATCAGAGAAAAATACTGATCTATGTATTTAATCACTTTGGGAGAGTAATAGCTATAAAACTGTTACATGATTAAGTCAGGTGCAGTCATGATTCAGTTCTTTCTGATAACAATCACTATCAGAATATATTAAGACTTTAAAAACAATTAATTTCTAAATCTGATCAGGTTGGGAGAATATTTTTCAGACCAATGTTAAACTTAAGTTCATTTGCTAGCTTATGCTGGATAAATACTAAAAAATTTAGATCATTTATAGGGTCCGTGAAAGTGTACCAGTTTAAACTGTTTAAAACCTCTTAATTAAAATGGTGCAATAAGGTCTAGATACACAAAATTAGATTGAGATAGTTCTGTTTTACCAGAGAAAACAATGGCAGCAAAACTGCTGAGCGTAAGTAGGAATTCTGCTTTTAAAAAGGAGAACAGCAACAACAGCACAGTAAGTGAAGACAGAACCAAGTTACAGATTATGTATAGGGTACGACAAACAAGTCTTATAACTAAAATATTATCACTGAATTGCGGCTGTCTTCCTCTAATCTGTCACATCTGGGAAAAGGTTAAGTCTCTCAGTATTAGTGACATTTTCTGGAGGAAAAAAAGGAAAACAGATACCTAGTAAGAGTTTATTAAGATATAAATATGTATAAAATATACTTTATGACAATTTATCAGTATTACAGAAGCAGTATATACTATTAGCAGATATTCTATATCAGTCTTTTTTTTGGTGTAAATTAAAAAGCCTTTCTTGTATTTTTAAAAATATTTGCTTCCTTGAGCTGATTAATTCTTTCTTCTGTTTGCCTTGGGTTCTTATGGTTTCTGTTACTCAGTTATTGATTGCAGAGGTCAATGCTTCAAAGATCAAGATGAAAATTCAGCAGATGGAAATCCTTTTGCAAGGGGTAGCTGTTTTCATCTAGCACAAAATGGCTCCTAATTTCCAACAAATAGGATGCTTCCGTATCTGCAAGCAGCAAATGACACAGCTCTGCTACTACTGTGCTGTAGGTGATATCTGAAGAGGGCACTGCAAGAGACAGAACAATCCAATTGACTCTTTATTTTCATAACAGCACATAACACAAGTTCCATGAAAGCCACACTGGATTACTGGAAGTTCAGCTCAACATCTGAATAGAAGATAAGGTTTTAGTTTTAGTATTTTGTTGTTTTTTTTTTTAAAAAAAAACATGCTAAAACTGTTTCTCATTAAAACTTTTAACACCTGTAAATTATGTACAACACCAAGAAGTCAAACAGGATGTATCAAGGGAAGCCTGTCTGAAACACTGTTCAGTTATTTACATCATGAAAGCATGTCAGCTATTTCTAAAAACTAAGAGATTCTATTTTGCATATAAGGAATCCATTTAGTTACACTGAATTATAGAGCATATAATGAATGTTCGTGCCATCCCACCTCTTGTTGCTACCTCAACTGTGAACTTCTGAGTTCGTCAGACAGCAACTGAAGTGTTCCTCTTGAGGCTGTGGGCGGTTTTTTTGTAAGTCTCACACTATTTCCAGAACAATCTCATCCCAATTCTGAATTGCCAATAATTGAAGAAATTTACTTCCATTGTGAACTTTGCTGCCTGTTTCTGTCATAAGTAATTAATGAGACAGTACCTATTAATCTGTTCAGCCAGTCTGCAGGAATATTAAGGAAGATTTTTTCCATCAACTCAGACACCACATGAACACAAATTTCATATCCTTCATCTTCTACTGTCATCAAAGCAGGTCTAGATCAGAAAACAAAAAAGATTCTTGAAAGTTAGCTATGTTTTTTTTATTTAAGCAAAATTTCTGAATGAAACTAATACTGTATGGTATTACCCTCCAACATAACACCAAGAACTAGAAAATCTGTGTGCACTCAGGTCTGTCAAATCTGTAGAGTTGGAATACATTTGATATATACACTGAGTTTACTACTTAAAGTCAGAAACTTCTAGAGCTATCAAATAAGCCTTAGTTTCAGACAACTGCGAAAAACCAATGCTTCAGCAGTGGTCTTTACCTAGAAGACAATGAGAGCTGCACTGTTATGAAATTAGTGTTATATCATTTATTACTTCGAACTTTATATATTTAAAGTATGAATGTTAATATGTAAGTACATGTACCTACAAAATACAATGTATATGTAAACATGTGAAATGCAAAGTAGGGAGACAAGCTTAGGGGTATCACTTAGAATGATACCATCTGTATCAACATCACCTAATATTGCCTGTCTCAATACAGCACCTCACAGCCTCTACATAATACCAAGATATTCTTTCCTCTACTATGACAAATACCAAATGGTTTTACGTATTGCTAAACAAGTAAAATCCCTCCTCTTTCCAGAAGCCATTTTCTACATTGGATATGGTCAACAGTATTCCTGTTAGGTCTGAAATTAACCTGGTTAGGGACTGCTGTCCTATGAGCACTGGTCTTTCCAAACTGTGTTTCAAAATATTCAAAGTTATATTGGATGACAACTGATCAAGTAAAGTAAAGAGCAATCTTTTTTTAGTACAAGTATTCCCTATATTTGAAGTGTCTGTCTTCTTTCCAACCTGTTTGATGCCACACATTTTTATTGTTCCCCACAAATAAGTCCTTTGTCTGTCTTCTTTCCAACCTGTTTGATGCCATACATTTTTTATTGTTCCCCACAAATAAGTCCTCGCTATTGGTTCTTGCTGTGCTTCTGTGAGATGATGATACCTTATCAGTCCTCTATAGTGACGTTCAACATGTAGTTTCTGCTTGCTCTCAAGCTTCTGAGTGATTTTACTAAGCCTGATTTTTATAGAGCTGATGCAGCTTCTACTCAATACATGTTCTTTGACTGCCCTGAGACTACAAATTGACCTGCAACAACTGCACCATCACAATCCTCACAGCTCTTAGAAAATCTGCACTGCTCTGATTAAGGCAGAATGCAATGCTCATATCCTGACCATCCCACAGAAGTAAAATAGGAAACATCAGGACATATAATAATAATGTGAATCTTGTGCATAGCAACATTTGAACAGTACCAAAACAGTATATGTTACAGTATATGTTAAAGACAGTCATCTTCAGTGCAGATAATTTCAATGGGAGATGCTCCCATCAATATAAAGTGTGCTCACTGCAGAGGTGGCAGAAGTGAAAGAAGGGCAGTCACCCCAAGACACTAGCAGAGCTGTACTGTCAAATAGGACAGGCAGTCAGTACTTCAGTACACTGGCAATTTGAGTGTTATTAATAGGTTAATTTAGTCAGCATGATGCAAAATACACCTACAGCACTAAACTGAATACCTGGGAGACATGATGACAAATGACTGCAAATAGGCCGCTTTCCCAGCATGCAAACCATTTGACTCGCCATCTGTTAATCTAAAAGCTACTGCTAAATTTCATAATCTTAAGTGAAGTGATCAGAAGAGATAAGAGAACTCCATGTCTGGTTATCTGTGGGATTATTTCAAATCTGTTGGTTTAGACAGAAATCAAGGCCCAGACTGTTTGTAGTCAAAGACTGCTGGCTCTCTTCATGAGAGAAAGCTTAACAACAGTACACTTAAATGCACTTTATTTTACCTCTGAATAAATTTATTTTTACTAGTGTCACAGAAAAAGCAACTTTATTATAAGCTTTATTCCTTAAATATCACTGCTTTTAATAGAGTGAATTTCAATAACTGTAAAACAGTTAGAAACATATTTAAGGACATACCTAAATTTCACTAAAGGCACACATAGTTCTACTAAAATATTCTTTAGAGGCTGCTAATAAGTCTTTAGTACCTGTATACAAAGCCAGTGAAGCATGCCAGTGAAATGGACTTTTCCACTAGTACAGAGGTTAAATTCGATCCCTGTTGAGTCTAAGTACCTAGGAATCTCCCATCTCATTACTGCAGCAGTTAAAATGTTCATTTAAAAAAGAAGTTAGTGTTTTCAAATGACAAACACTTACTGGTATAGACTGAAAAATAAATTATCTAAAGGGAATACTACTGTCATACTAAATTCCAGGCAAAAGATGCTAGGAAACTGAAAGTTTAGGTAAAAACAGGTAAAAGAAAGAAGGACCCATCTGTGATATCTAAAATCTATGAGGTGAGCTCTGAAATACATTTAAGTTCTACATCAAGATGTGTTCACACACTGAGAATACAAACATTGGAAATCTTTTTCTATCACCTTTTGTGTGAGAAAGTAAATCAAAGTCCTTCAGGACCACATGAGAGGTTGTGATCTTATGAAAGAGGGGGAACCTTTTCAGTTCTTTGCTCTTAATTCTCCCTCATAGGAAAATATATAGCATATAAACTTAAAGATGCAAGACTATATTGCATAGAGGAAAAAGACCAAGTCACTACCTTATTAGACAAATGGGATTCTAGTGTTTAAATCAAATAGTAAGTACATGGAATGATTCATTAAACTCACTATGAAATAGTTTAGGAATAATTTTAGAAAGGTTTTTTGGTCTAAAATCTACATATTCTAGAATTCTGTTATATCTATCATTGTATCAGTTAACCTTTTCTACCTACATGTCTTTCAAGTCACTATGATACTTACATTTCGAGAGCCCAAGATAAATTCAGTAACTGAACAATTAGTTAAAAATGTTGTTCCTACATCAGTAAGATCCATTTAGTTTCTTTTTCTCCAAGTAAGTGTGCACATAAATCTTGCTTCACAGTGCCATCTACTGAGAACTTAGTATCTCTGCTCTCTACAAGAATGTTTATTAACAAGTGTTTTCAATATTATTCCTGCATGGCTAAAATGGATTAATAGTTTAAAATTATGGTTGTGCATTCACATGATTTCAAACTTAAGCAAAACAAGACATTCAAGGTGTTTTCCTTTGGTCCTCAAGCTTCTACTCGATCTTAGCTACTGACACAGTACTAGGTAAACCTCATTACTGTATGACATAGAAGTCAAAAATATTTAAAAGATTTAAACAAAGAATAGCACCTATAAATAACAGCAATACAATACAGCAACTCAAGAAAGCTCCTTGAAAATTCATTACAAAAATAGTAATTACTAACCGCACCTTATACAGAATTTTATATACGGGGGAATTTTAAATGGAGAAAATTGCAGTATGCTACCCTAAAAGTACACAATATTTTAGTTCTGTTTACCTGTAGAATGTTTTTACTTTGTTGTATGGCAAACATCTAACACATTGCTTGTAGATCATGTTCTCATCTGCCTGTAGTTCCAAACCACACTTAGCACAACCTGAATACGTAATCATGGGCAGAGAATCCAAAACACGCTCCAGTGAAGTGTCAGCGTGGAAGATGAGTTCCTTGTATTGATCAGTTGCAATTATGAACTTCAGTTCTAAGATATGGGCTTTCACTTGAACCCGTCCTACAAAAACAACAGTTTCAATCAGATCTGCCTTGAGTTTTACTTATAACTGAAACTGAGCAAGGGTTACAGCCAACTCAAAACCAAAATAATTATCAATAAAACTTTGATTATTTTTTTTCTTTAGTAGCACATGCTCATAATCTTAGATATTTGTGAAGTGAAAAATCACTGTGGTTAAATATTATTTTAAAATGTATGAGAGTACTACATTTTTAGGTACTATTGTGGTAGGTGCCAATATAGAAAAGTCAGAATAAGATCAAGACATTAGAATTGTGCAAATAATTTTCAATTGTTTTTCTCCCATGCTAGCTCAAAGGCACTGAAAAGCACAGCTTTAACAACTTAGCTTTGCACTATTTATACATAAACTGGAGTTAAACACTGCAATGCTAACTTCATTTAGCCACCTCACTGTTTAACACAGACCTAGAAGATTGCTACAGTTGATCTGGAGGGAGTGACTGTGTAAGATTTAGTCTTCACTCTTCTGTAAGAAGTTTTCAACAGCAGTAGCGATTTTACTTTTGCTTTAGAGAACTCCAGTTTTGGAGAAATACTGTTGAAACTTCAGTGATTAATCACACTATTACTAGACTGGTTGGTGTGGACAACAAAAGGCAGCATAAATATCCCTGTCTCAAAGCTGTCCTTACATGGTACCACATATCAAACTTCCACCTCTGGGCTTACTGAATGAAGGCTGCATTCAGTTTGGCTGGGTACTGAGCAGCAGCCTCCAGAATAAATTCAGACTCCCAGAACCATGCTAACTTAAAAAGCATTTTACTTGATCCACACAGCACCTATGCTGCCTAGTTATGCACTGCACAACAGACATACAGATCTATGGATAACAAATTTACCTGAGCATTTGTCCTCCAAATGTGCTGAAAGCTTTGTCATCTGTATGAGGGGTGTTTTGCTTTTCTGAAACTTTTCTTGAAATTCAACTGCCCTTTTGTCATCATCAAACAAGCACTCATAGGATGACCATGGAGTTGTGTGCAGTTCAAAGTCACCCGAGACAGAACTATGTTGGACCAGAAGGTATTTAAAGTCCCATATGTGATCTACAGAACAAAAAAACCCACCAAACAGAAGAATATACTTTCTGTATCTTGGCTAATTTATAGAAAGCCAAGGTCACTTAGAAGACAGAGAAATAAATCAACAATCGTGCTCACATGGTTAGCTCTGGTAACTTTATTTGAAGCCTGACGACATGTAGGGTTTTTTCCCTACAGACTTTGCATGAGTTCTCCCATAAGGGAATGATGCTGTCATTTCTCTTGTACTCAATTCAGCTTTCACGACAACTCAACTTTTTGAAAACCAAACCAGTTTTGAAATTTCTTGTCAGCTGTTATAAGCAAAAGTTGGCAACATCTAAAAGAAAATATATTATTAAACAGCTTCCATCTTCAGTATGTCCCTGTTTTCTTAGTCTTCGATCTCTGTAATGCTGATTTTAAAATATTAATTTTTTCATCTTCCAATGGACACTCTAATGAAGAAAAATACTTCAACAATGGAGATTACAGGAGGGTAACATATTTTGTGTTGCCCTCCACTTTGTTGTAAGAATCTGGTAGTCACTACTAATAAAGTCTGATAACCATTTAGGCTGCTTATTTTCCTGTGTTTGCTCAACCTGGCAACTGCAGCTAAAATAATTTCTGGAAATAAGGTTAGAAAGAAACCCAGATTTTTTAAAAAATGTATGCAAGTGTCTGTATAAGCATCTTATCAGCATGTTTTAGTATTTTCGTATTTTGCATTTGTCTAATTTTTGGTGGTAACTTGCTAAAATTGCATGCTCCTGAAAAATCTGCTATCAGTTTTACAGTACAATACTAAAAGAAATTCTCCTTTGAGTGTCAGTCTAGTTTTATGCACCTCAAATATGAATAGAGATCTTGCAGCTCCCCAGAACTGGGTATGCTCCAGTCCAAAGCAAGATTCAGACAGCAACACTAGAGTAACACTAAGAGAAAATCTTAACAGAAAGAAACAAACAGGCACTTGGCAAGAGGGGATATATGAAAGTAGAGGATGTAGTCTAAGTAAGGCACAAGATTTAGCCGATACCTGAATTTAACCTATTATTCAGATTTTCAACATTCCCCTGTTGTTCAGAAAACTGATCACAAAACAGGAGTAAGCTCTAGTAATCAAGTTTACAGGAATGTGTTTAATGAAACAGAACTGACTTTTTTGGTAATCTAAACCAGATGACCACAAAGCATGACTGAATGTCTGATGACTGTATACTGGAAGCTTGGACTGATTTTTAGCAAGAGATGCAAAGGAAATTTAAGTTTTACTGGCAACAATTTTTACCTACTCTAGAACTGTTTTGGTCTTATGCACTTTATTTTAAGTATGTAGACAGTTTAAAAATTCCAAGTCTCCATACTTTCCTCTACAAGACTATGAGGTTTCTCATCTGCTAGTACAACCAGTAAACACACACCACAGCTGATCTATGACTCCTTGCAAGGATGGACATCATGCTTCTCCTGTAACCCACTCACTCTTTTAGCTCTGGTGTCGTGTATGTTTTAGTATCACGTGAATTTATCTTTTTGGCTATCTTACTGGGATCAAATGTTCATGGTTTGTCTGTGATTAAGTATTTGAACAGTTGAGAAATCCCTCTTATCTTGAATTTCAGATAATCTTTTAATCATTAAAATACCAACCTCTAGATGCACAGAGCACTACCTGGAAAATAAGACAAGCTTTCCATCACATATAGACACTTAATACCTCAGAGATCTGTGTCTTATAATTTTCTGCTTTACATATCAGAAAAAGTTATATTGTGTGAGAAGTTACTTCTGGTATCTTTTTGCACCTACACAAAAAAATTAAATTCTGTATTTTTAAAAGTGTGATAATTTAGCATACTAAATTCTATAGGATTTCTAAGCATCTAATGAACAGTACATAACTGCTCATACTGAAGAATGCATAAAAATAAGAGCCATGTAGACATTATGCAGTGAAGTTAATTGGTTAATGTTAATTTGGACCATCTTCAAGCAGTTTAAGAGGTAAGTCTTGCAGTTAGATGATTTCTAGGAGTAAAGATTACTTTTAAATTGAAGTGGAACTGGCAGAATTCAAGTGTCTACATTTAATAGGTAAAGATTCACTATGAGGTTGTTTAATCTTTGAGTTTTATTTTGCACTATATTAAAACCAGCTTTCTAGGCAGACATTCAGTACTCCAACTACTATGGCATTTACTTCCTAAGTGTATATACACTGATCAGTAATACAAACTTGTAACAAAAATCTAGTTTCACTTATTTTAAAAGAACAAGGCCAGGAATAAAACAAAATTCAGGTGTAGTTACTGCTAAAACACAGGCTATGTAATTCTTGCAAGAGATGCTTTTAGTCAGTTACCGCTATACTTGATAGCAAGACCATAAGAGCCTGATGGTGCAGTAAGGTAGAAAGCACAGAATGAAAATCAGAATATGGAAGAAAACCCAGCAAGTCATTCTAAACCAGGTAACAATAAGGAAGACTCAGCAAAACAGATAATACAGTTAACACTCAAGTTGTTTTTTCTACAGTTACATGACTAGGCACCAGTGCCTCTTGTGTTTAGATTTAAGTTTCTAAATACTCATGCTTTCTCAGTCTTCTAAACTAAGTGCGTTCATATTCTGTTGCTGATGGCACTGCTTCTAAACAGAAGAGACATGTTAAAATTGGTAACAAATGTGTTGCCTTTCCAAGGGGACTATTTAAAGGTTGAATGGAAAAAAAATGTTACCAGCTGAGCATCTTAAGCATATTCATAGCATCACAAAAATCCTTTTATAGGTACATGGACCTTACCTTTTTTCCTTTGAAGTTGAGGGCACCAGGCAGCCCCTGCTCCCCACAGCACCATCCTATAGTGTTGATCTCTCTTCTGTTCTACTGTTAAAATGATTTTTCTTTGGCTGCCACCTTTGTAGCTATACACAGATTCTGAAAAAGTTTGAAATTATGTGTCTTCTACAGTGACAAGCATATAAACACACAAACCACATGCATCAATATGAAGATGAAATCATAGTACTAGCATATTTTACAGTAAAACTGTAAGCAAATCAGCCTATACCCACAATTTCTTTAGGACAGAATGCAAGCAATCAGATTTCTTCAGCAACACAAGTATAGTTTGAAGGAATGCGTAACATATATTCATTTACCTAAATACTCGGCAACTGGACACTTCCCTTTGAAACAGCAGGTACCTGAGCATCTTTCAGCTCCCACTCACTCTGACTGGTATAAGTGCAAAGAAATTGCACTGAATCTCTCAGCAACAGACTGTCATAACTGGAAGTCAAAGATCCTGTAACTTCTGTGGAATATGCTGCAATAAACATTCCTCTAGAAGTTTTCACATTAAAAACTACAGTCATGTACAAGCACATTAAGAAGATTAGTAACAGTATACATAAAGTGAAACAATTAAGATCTCTATAGCAATTCTTACCCAGGATATAGCCTGTTTCAGTTCCACACTAAAACTAATATTTTTCATAAACAAACAGGTTTTGAAAAAGAGCTCTTGCTTTAAGTATCTAACAGTTCTGAGATCTATGTACAATAATAAATTATTCAGGTTTCTAACTTCAAAGTTCTCCATTTAAAATGAATAAACGTGATATTGACAGCGTGGGTAAAAATTTTTAATCTCACTAATACAAGCACTAATACAAGATAGTGCAATATGATCAAATTTACACGCAGAGCTTGAAGTCAACCACTGAGAAACAACAGTGGTACTGTAAAGAAAACATAATCAGAACAGTTATATAGGGAAAAGAAAGACTTCTTTTCCATGTAGGAACAATAGTCCTTAACTGTCCAAAGTGTGTTAAAAAAACATGGCAAGACACTGCATGAAATCATGAGAATGCCCCGAGATAGTTTGGTTTTGTTCATGCCAGAAGGTAGAGAAGATGCTAGGAAGCAGCTGTAAGGCCCAATTATGAAGTGGAAACAAATAATCCATTTTAACATGGGAAACTGCTGCAGCAAAAGGAATCTTCAAATAACTTTATTCACTACTAGAAGAAAAGTAATGTGTGATGGAAGAATAAACTCAAAAAATCAGTACACGAACTGTTGACCATGATTCTTTGGAAGACAGGAGTCTTTACAATAAGAATATACAGAAAACTCAGATTTCCAAAACCAAGTTCCATTAGTGAGGTAGTTCTCTCTTGTGCCTGTGTAGAAGAAATAGGAGTATTGCAGTAAGACTTAGTAGCTTCACACTGTGCATTTTCCAATGCTGAAAATGAAAAAAACGTGTACAAAAAGGCACACAGGTATTATAGAGAAATATTGCATATATTTAAGAAACTAGGGGTTCTTAGCTTTCAAAAAATCAAAGTAGAAAAAAATTGAAAGAAATAAACAAGAGATGTTCCAAATAAAACATTAGAAAAGAGCAACAGTTTCATTATAGACTAATAAAGGCAAGCAAATCCTAGAGTAGTAATTAAAAGGATCAATAACTTATTTCATTCCGAAAAACACATGATTTGTAGCTCAGTCAACCTCTCCTTTAATGGCAGGATGCTTACATGGAAGGTAGTTGGCAGGTAGGCTTTGAATTAGTAAAGCTTGAATGTCCCACATGACATTTTCATAGACCAGCTACCTTTCTCAAGCAACAGGATACTTCATACCTGCATCTCCCTTCAATCCTCCAACTTATTGAAGATCAGGTACCACACTATCAGGAGCTCTGGAGATGCTCAAGCCATCTCACTGACGAGTCAATACATTAATACCTTTAGTCTGCAGTGAGTGCTCATTCTTTAGTGACAACACAGCAGTGCCTCAGTGAGCAAGGAACACCGATTATCAGTGCCCACTGCCTTCCACAGAAGCTATTGATCAGCGCCAGTGTGCAGTAACCTCCTTTCAGTACCTGACTACAGTCATTATTTCCTTTCTGTCTCTAACTCCATTTCTCTGCTATGTCCCTCATGAGTAGACGATTTCAAAAGTTCTAGTTGTGACTCTTGTGTCAAACACTGGTGTACAGAATAGGAAACAACCAGAATTGCAATGCAAAACTACTAAAGTTTTATCTTTTGTTGAAGTTTTGGAAGTTGAAGTCTAGTGCATGAACTCACCTGTTAATACAGCAATGCTGATAATTTTCAAGACTGCGTGAACCAATGTATTTGGCTGGAGCTGGTCTAGCGGCACATACTGAACATCATCCAGTCTCTGAACTTGTCTTCGTGGAATGTCTCCGAAGTGTGGAAATTCTGAAGATATGTACGCCAATAAGCCATGAAGAACACTACCATCCACTATAGGATAAACTTATATGAAAAAACACAGTTAAAGGGACATCCTTTTTTTTTTAACCTTAGAAGTATAAAATTTATTGGTTGGTACACATCTACACTGAAAACCAAAAACATTTCACAATAATTTTAAGGCAAGAAATTCTTGAGATGTGTAACACTTGATCCAAAATTAAACTGTACTTCATTTAATCAAACTGTACTTCATCTGCCTCCTCTTGATAACATTCTAAAGTTAAGTACAGTATTTTAAATTACTTCCAAAAAGGAAAGTAATATTTTATCATAATCTGGTAGTAATAGTTGTTCTTGATAATTACCTCCAGAACCTGCCTTAAATAGCCAGCAATAACAGACATAGGGAAGACAGTAGTAACAAAGCAAATTCATGATGGTACTTCCTCAGTATTTTACTTAGTCTCCAACCTTCCCTAGCTCAGGTATCTTTAAAGACTTTGTGCTTAACAGCCTGCAATGAATTACTTTCCTTAAATGGATCTACTTACTCTGTAAGATTCTAAAATGTTTGCAAAAAATGTAATCCTCATGAAATCTCAGATATCTTATGGTTGAGTCCTGGGATAACTGCTGCTTCTTAAACTAAGCTTAAAGAATTCAGTTTTTCAGAGTTCAGTTTTGAATGGTAACCACACAATTTTACCATAAACTCCACATGCCTATCTGCTGTCATCACCTCCGCATCTTGTCCACAGGTGTTCCTGTCATACTTTCCTATAGTGTTTTGTACATCTCAGTTGCTCACATTTCTGTTTTATCCTGCGTATGAGGCATTGCCAAAAAAAACACAGAGTACTTTAAATAGCTATTTTACTGTGTTTTATTTTATAGCGATTTTTGTGGAAACTTATTCCCTATAATCTTACATTCCTCTGGATTGAGAGCTGAGCAGTTTCCCAGATTCAGTAACTGACTGGTAAATGTAGATTGCAGCGTGATTTCTCCACACCAGAGATTCTCAGACATTATAATATCTGCAAGAAAAAAAAGCAACCTCATTAACTCATGTATCAGCAATATTCAAGTTTTCTTGACTATAGAGTCACCATGCATACAGGTGTGAAAGAGTTCGAAAGAGATCACTTGGCAACAAAGTGATTTTTTTTTTCATCTACCAACACAGTTTCCAACAAGTTAATCAAAGAGTCTCATATAATTCTTCAATTAATATAAAATATGAAATAGCCTCATAGCAGGTACTGTATAAGTGAGGTAGGTGACTGTATTGAGTAAATTATTACTGTGCAACATTGCAGAGTGAGCAGTAAAGTACTAGGCTTACCCAGAAAGTTTTAATGTATTTGAGATAATGTATAAGCAGAAATTTAAAAACACAACTTATCTTTAGTCGTCTTAAAATATCTACCTTTGCACCTACCTATAAGCACTTAAAGAACTCTTAAAGACAAACGGGCATCTCAAACTCTAAGTATTCAAACAATTTTACATTGTGTAAATTTCTGCATGTTGCAAAACCTACATGGCCAGATCACTATCAAGTTCTGGTTGACTGGAACCCTAAATTAAGTGCAATATCATTTTTATGGTACTGCATCCTCTTACATGGGATGTGTTCTCTCAGAGAGGGCTTTGCTCCTGTTAGGTATTAAAGAGTAAGAAGGATTTACAAGGAGGAATCTTCATTATTAGCCAACATGTTATGAAAAAGGTGAACCACAAACGGCATTTTATATTTCTGCAGTCTATGGCAGTTACTAATCCACAACATGATCTATCTCAAGATGCTCATGCTAAGCTACAGTCTCCTTCACAGGAGGAAAAGTAATTTTTATGGAACACAACAGGACCATTTTCTGGTCTGTCTGCTGGTCCAACAGCAGAGAAAACCAAAAAAGTCAATAAATCAAATAACTAGAACATCTGGTTTGTAGTAACAATCATATCTTTCAGGAACAACTGTTCTGAAACACTGACAGGTGGCAGAATACACCTGCCTGCCTATGGCACTGCTGTAGTGTCAAGGCACTGCTGTGTCTCAGAACAAAGACTGTACATCAGAGATGGGCAAACTTCCATGGGACAGTCAGTGTTCCACTGGCAAGACGACTGAGAATTCAATCTTGAGTAATACAAGTCATGTAAGAAAGATACTTAAAAAAGCATTAGTCATAGTTCCAAATTACTGGTTACACGTTGTTCTACTTTAAACAGGCATTTTAAAGACATACATTTAAAAAAGGCAAATAAAGTATTTCTCACCTGTAAGCAGTACAACATCCCCAGGAAACACAGTGAGTGACCAAAATGCAGCACCACGCCAGAGCACCACCTTTCTTTCAACTGCTGACTGGTCAGTAACTACAATCGTTGCTACAGGAATTTTACATGAAGATTTTGGTCTAGTCTTCACCTGTATTTCTTTGATATGACAAGGATGTACTATTGTGACCAAAACATTGTACTTTTGGTTTTTGCAGCAGCAATTCTTGAGTGGTGACAGCTTCTTTTGAATTTTCTTGAACTTTGCCATCTTCTCTTGATCTGCTCTCACCCCAGGATCATCTGGAGAATAAGTCAGCTTAGTTCTCTTTGATTTCTTTTTAAACACTGGGTGACAATCATGAAAGGAATCTTCAGACATGTGGGGTCTTTTAGAAGAGCTCTTATAAGAACTGCCTACTTGAGAGCATAATATTCCTGAGCTCAGCGGTTCAATATGGATTTCATTTACAAATTGTTCTTGAGACTTCTCTGTACTTTCCTGAGCACTTCCTTGTTTTGTAGATTCAAATAAAGCATTTTTCCCATCTCCCTCAGAACTGAAAAGTTCAGGGGAGCTTGTATACTCTTCCTTATATTCATTTTCAGCCACATTAAGATGTGTCCCAACACCAGAATCAAATTGGAAGTGATCACACTGCCTTTCTTCAGGTTTTTGGCCTGCTTCTGTTTCCAACGGTTTTATGATTCTTTTCTGCATTTCATCCTGATCATGTGCAAAAACAGCCATCTGACTTGCAGTCATTATACTACAAAACTCAGTATCTGCTGACACTGTGAAGTCAGAACAATCACTTGGCTCTCCTTTAGGTTTTGATTCTTGATTTTGGGGAAAAATCATATCCAGGTATTGACTGGCAACCCAATCACAAGTGTCAGGGCTGGTAGCTTCTAAATGACTGGCTTTTCCTTCAGTGTGGTTTGAACAGCAGCGATGGGATTGTTTATCTTGTCTAGCTGATTCTGCAGAGTTTTGCAGAAGGTGTTCATCTGCAGCCTGATTTACATTTGCATGTGTGCTTCTACCTTTAGCTATTTGACAATCAGAACAAGTTAAACTTTCAGTCTTTTTAGGTGTGCTGGTACAATCTACTGCCAGAGGTACAAGAGATGTCAAAAATTCTTCAGACTGCTGAGAGCTGCCATCATTTGCAGGAGCTGCTGTGACTACAGAGCTATCTGCCTGAAACACGAAGTGGTCAGCACCTTCGACTTTTTCAGAAGAAAGACCACGTGTATCCCACAAATAGTGGAGTTCTCTCCATTTCTCAGCAGCAGGTGCTGAACCACTTTGCTCTGACACCTCCGGCGGGCTCGGAATACTGGCTGAAATACTGGGTGCTCCCATAAAAATATGAATTTGAGGTCTTTTTGACATTTTGATTGCTGTGTAAGTTTGACTGTAAACAGTGTGGTTGATGCAATAACCACAACACCAAATATCAGCAAATGCAAAAGACTGTATTTGGCCTTTTCTTTAAAAATTTTAAATACCTAAAATTAGAAGGCATATTGCATAATTTAACTGGTAAAAACACTACTACTTAAAGCCTATAAGATTAAACATAAATTAAAAATTGATAGTTATTTATTCTGCCAATCTTGCACAGAAAAATAAGTTTACAGCAGGGCTTAATTTCTGATTCTGCTACTGGGAGATACATAGCAGACGCAGAACTTCAGTGAAGTGCCTTTTAAGTTGAATTATTAAGCAGAATTATCTTCATTTACTATTGCTAACTAAACAGTCAAATGTGAATTCACTATTCAGTACTTCATATTAACTCATGTTGAATAAATGCCTGTAAGAAAAACTTTCCCAGCATGGTTAGGAAATAACTTCATCTCAGAAAATTATAATTTCAACTATCTCAGAAAATTACAATTTCAACTAAATAATTAAAAATACTAGAGCTATTTAAAATTAGTTTAAAAGTTTGCTAGAAATACAGTATTTTACATGCTGTTTTAGCATGAGAATACTGTATTAAAGTGATTTTATGAAATTAAAGGTTTCAGTATATTTCTGATAAATTATACTTATTTAATAAGCACTAAGAGGTCAGATTAATAAGAATTTGCTTTAATTCATTTATATAGTATCATACTACCAAAGCAGTCACTAGCTTTACTAGCTAATTAAAAATAAGTCTACCTACCACAGCACAAAAGACCATTTTTAAAAAACTTCTGTCATACTATAATTTTAAAATACCCAGCTACAACTGCAAGTGTTCATTAAAATGCAGACACTCCATGTTTTGGGAGCGTTCTTAATAGAAGTTGCTGTAATAGGCAGTTCTGCAGAGGCAGGAAAGATGACCAGAAATGAATTTCAGGAGCTAAGCCAGCTGCAAACAGAAGAAAGAACATTGAAACAAATACAGCATTGGAAAAAGATTTAAATTTTTGCTTTAGAGCTTATTAGCAGCTATTTTCTTAACAGCCCACTAGGGGTCGATAACTCTGCACATTTATAAAGCTCATAGTGACATGGAAAAGCTATAAACATCCTGGAACACTGATCTCTGGTATACTGCAGGCATAACCAGAAAAACAATATACAGCCATTAAAATTATATGTATCATGTCATAACAGAAAGAAGCTACAAAACACAGTAACTGGCATTGCTCAGTTTTATGCTCATTGCAAAACAAATAATACTTAAAAGACTGAAGTATCCAAGCTTCTGGACTTGTACATTTAAATTTAGAAATCTTAACTTAATCTTAAACTAAACTAAAATATGTCCAGGACAAAATTTGCTTATGTGCTTCCTATGCTCTCAGAGTAAGCTTGTAACAGAGATGTTCTGAGTTTTCTTATAAGGAAGAACTGAGCTTCAACTACATTGTAAATGAATACACTGTAAATTGAACACTTCAGATCTTGAGTTCTGAGGACACTGGAAGGGCATTTTTGTTGCTAAATAGATGAGATCACAACAGTATGCTTAGAGGCCAGCCTGTAAGTTGAAGTTGCAAGACCTTTCAGAGACTCTTTATTCATAGAAAAGTTGGTGTTTAACTGCCATGGTGTAAAGTAGTCTTAATTTTAATTAAAATTAAAAGCTTCCAAGCGTCCTAGACTACTTCATGTAAATATAATGCAGGGCTTCAGATGCTACAGTAAAGCAAGTCTTTGCACTTTATAGCGTAAAACCACAAAATAGTAACAAACAAAAGTTTCATAGGCTTTCATACCTTTTCAATACCTGAAGTTCAGTATAAACGCAAGTTTAAGATTCTAGAGATAGTTGTATTTCACTACTTCCAAAGATATCCCATATCACATTTCAAATGTGTTCTTCCTATAATCAGAGTTGAACAATGAATTAATCAGTTAACACTTGAAGGAAAAATAGCACTGAAGCATCATATTCAAGCATGGTATTTTTTTGTTTGTCATTCTGCCTACTTGTCATATTAAAACCGTGGAAATTAGCTTTGTTTTTAATTCCCAAACACTACTATATTATTTTTTAATTAAAAGTTTTACCAATCTATGAAAACAAAATGTAACTCTAAATGCATCCCAATAGCCCCAAGCTTTCTTCTCAATATACATATATATACACACATATACATATACACATATATACATATACACACACATATATATGCACAAAGACTTTACACAGTCTGAATTAGACAACGCTGTTATCTTGACATACTTCTGGTCTTCATCAAAAATCTATTTTTATCCTTGAGACTCAACTGGATGAGTTCTTCTTGTGTTAAGATAAATCCTTGTGGCAAAATAAAAGTTTTAGTTCTAGATTTAAATAAGGGAAAAACAGAAGAAATGGGAAGATAAAGATTATGGGAGAATTATGTTTAACGATTTTCACTTGTTATGGATGAAGTAGTTGTTTGTCTTGCTTTAAGTAGTTTTGCTTGCACATGTTGTATACGTTTGAGACTCAGGTGACAGCAAACAAGTAGTTAAGGAAGTAAGGGTACATCACAACAGAAGAAGTTTAATGGCAGAACAGACTATTAAAAAGAAATGAACAAACAACTAAAAGGTTTATGAAGATGAGGTTAGGAACAAGGAAGGCTGCATTCCAGAGTCTCAGTGTAAGCCACTTTAAGATCAGAATTCCACAGACCACATCCCACTACCCCTCATCTTCTACGAGGGTAAACTACCCACTTGGACATGTATTTAGGTATTATAAATAAAAAGACAACTACTGTGCCCCTTCTACCTTTTCTTACTTAAGGATTTCATGTTGTGGACCTGGAAGATCTAGGCACAGCCTCACAGTATACTCTAAAAAGCTAATTCCTCTTGCAACTGCAGTATTTTGGACTCAAGTTACAACAGGCATGACACTGCCAAACAGTATTGAAAATTTTCCATGTTTTCTTCCAGAATAATTCCTCTTTTCACTTCTACATTGATAAATACACATTAAGATCTGTGACTAATATCAAGGAGTACTTTGAAAAATACTTTTTTTCTAGACAAGTACCTAAGTATTTGGTTTTATAAGCACACCTTAAACCTAGGTAGCAATGAAATGACAAAAATGAATAACAAAGGGTGATTTATTTACTACAGTACTAAAACCTCACCAATGACAAAAATCTGTGAGCTGCTGATCACAAAATAAATTGAACACTGTCAAGAGCTATATACGTACAGGGACAACTCATGTAACTAACTGAATTTCCCTGAAATAGATTAATTAGAATTTACAATAGGATGACGGCTATGACAACTTCTAGTACAAACATGAGTTTATTACAGATGTGAGCCTCTATAGAAATGCGTTCTGAATAAGTATCTGATATATAAGAACACACTTAAAACAGTATTAGTTGCAAAACATGTGAAATCATATTAATTGCACGAAGATGTCAAATATACTTTAATTGGAAAACACTTTTCAAAACAATTTTTCAAAAATAGCTTCTATACCTTGGAAAACTTCCAGTTATACAGTATTTTATCATTCTCTTATTCTAACTATCACTTTTTTGGGGTTTTTTTGTTGTTGTTTCTGTCATGTTGAGACTAATAGAAGTTATACATGAATTCAAAAAGTCTCACTTAACTTTCCAGTTACCTGTAGCGTTTCTAAACTTATAATTTTCTTTCCTGATTCATACTTTGAAGAGCAAGTATATTACAAAGCAATTACATCTTGATGTTAGTTAATCTACTTTTGCAACTAAAATATAATTTATATTTTCAAAACCTAAAGTTTTTATTTTTCCTAAGATATTCAGAGCTTAGGATTGGTAATTGACTTCTGCCTACTTCCTGATTCAACTGAGTTCACTGTCAAATGCCCCACTTCAGCAGTTTCCAAATTATTTTTTAGGTCAAAGACACCAAACTTCAGGAAGCATCAGCACTTACAATCATTTAAGTCTGTAAATCAGAAAAAAACCTCAAAGTTTACATAAAATCTCTGTATGCAAAATTGTTTCAAGATTCTTTGCTATGCTTCTTTAGAACAGTATTATTACTTATTTAATGAATTTTGTTAGTGAAGTTCTGTGTCTTGTTACAAAGAAAAAGTCTGAAAGAAAAACTCTTATTACAGCTTAAAACAAGAGCACAAAAAGGAGGGGAAAAAACCCCTATCAATCATATTAGCAAAATGCCACTGGCACAAAACAAATCCATTTTTATACTGTAGTTAAACTATCCATGGGTAGGCAGGGGGTTAACTACACCAAAGATAACAGGAGCTAAAGCTCATAAAGATATAACTAAACCTGAATGCACATACCCATTATACCTGTTAATTATTACACCATTTCTCAAATTGTGGAAAGGTGCTCTATTCATAATAGCCAATGGGACCTCAGCTTTTTATCTATGAAATGGTCAGAGTCTGATTGAAGGGTCAATGATCTATTAAAAAAGGTAACTACATCAGCAAGTTTTACATTTGCAAGACACTGCAGCTGAAGTTTAATGTACCTATTACAAGAAACATTATGGTACACAGTGTTTTCTCCCCAGCCTAAACAGTAAGACAGGAATTCTGAACTTAAAGGTTTTTCAAATTCACAACTATGTCATTAACAGTTTGTTAATCTCTAGGGATTTGCTACACATAGGACAAAATTAGAAATAGCTTTAAAAATCTTCTTCCAATAGTTCAATATTCTAGGAACATTAAATTACCCTTAAAATACCTTAGAACTATTCATTTCTTTTATTCAGTAGTTTGCTATTCATTAATAGCATTCATTCACCACAGCAATCACTTAAGCATTAGACCAAGGTAATTTAAAGAGGGTGACACTGCTTCGTCTGCCTATCACTCCTGAATATTAATGGTAGTCACAGAATCACAGAACACAGAACGTTAGGGATTGGAAGGGACCTCAAAAGCTCATCCAGTCCAATCCCCC